GAAAACTGTGACACTGCCTAAGGCACTTGACTGCTAACCAGAAAGCTGGCAGTTCAAACCCACAAGCCACTCCTTGGGGGGAAGGTTGGGCAATCTACTTCTGTAGTGATACCACCTTGGAAAGACAAGGAGGGGCTGCTAATAGTCAGGTCCAATTCACGACATATAACAACGATGAGCCTAAAAGCAGATGCTCTGTGCTTACATGTTATGAGTTATATATTAAACTATGGCCCTTCAACATTGAAAGCAACCAAAACCCTTTCTCAAATAAACACTTTTGCTGTTATTAGATACTGAGGAGTCAGTTTCAACTCACAGTGATCCTCTGTATAGTATAACAAAATACTCCCTGGTCCTGCACTGTCCTCACAATTATTCTTGTGTTTGAGCCCATTGTTGCAGTCACTGTGTCAATTGGTCTCATTGAGAGTCTTCCTCTCTTTTCACTGGTCCTTTATTTAATCAAGTGTGACGTCCTCCTCTAAGGACTGGTCTCTCCTGATACCATGAACAAAGTATCTGAGATGAAGTCTCACCATCCTCACTTCTAAGGAGCATTCTGGCTCTAACTCTTCCAAGACAGATTTATTTGTTCTTCTGGTAGTCCACGGTACTACCAACTTCCATATTCTTACCAACACTTAAAAAAAAAAAAAAAAAAAAAAAATCCTCACTGCCATTGAGTTGCTTCTGACTCATAGCGACCCCTCCTTGTGTTTCTGAGGTGATATCTCTATGGAAGGAGATTGCCCAATCTTCCTTCCAAAGAGTGGCTGGTGATTGTGAACTGCCAGCTTTCTACTTACCAGTCAAATGCTTTAGGCACTGTGCCACCAGAGCTCCCAGCGCTTAGTCCCTGGTATTTCCCAACATTGTTCAAGAATATATTTTTAAAGGGGATATTTAAAATATTAGATGGAAAGGAGGGTAATGGCATTTCCATAGGGAAAGGAGACTGAACAAAAGTAAAGAGGCTGCTATTTGAACAAATGCACTGAGTCTAATTACTGTATATGAGTCCTTAAAAGTGGAAGAAGAGGTAGGAGTACGGTTTGGAGATTGCAGCATGAGAAGAAACCGATGGCCCTGGCTGCTTCTGAGACATGAGGACTGCATGTAAGAATCAAAGAAAGACCCTACTTTCCCAGATGACAGTCAGCAGAAAACCAAGATGTCAGTCTACAATGACATGTAACTAGAACTTACAGAAAGGACCCCTTGATTTCAGCTGGGTGAGGCTGTACTGGTCTTCTGTAAGATAATAGATGTGTGTAGTTGTAGGCTATAACATTTGTGGTAACTTGTTATGGCAGCAATAGAAAATGAGCACAGCACTCTTTCATTTGTATTTGACTTTTCACACCAATGAAACTCATTACACCCTTGAGCAATTCTTAAGAAAATTATTTTATACAATTCTAATACTGTTGCAATGATTTTAGACTGCAAATTCTAGCATAAATCCAATGCACTTACAGTTACTTCATAATACAAATTCAGAATGTTTTCTACTTACTTTCTTTAAATATAGGCTTATTGTCATTAATATCAGAAAGTTTAATCAATACGCTTGTTGTTCCGGTAAGTCCTCCAGGCTGCCCAATCATGTCCTTGGCTTGAATAATTACCCGGTATTCTTCCTGAAGCTCTCTATCCATTTCAGAAGATATTCTTATGACTCCTTTACAAATGCAATATAATGCGAGTTACTATGTCGCTTTTATGATGACCCCTCCCTAGTTATGTTAATCTCTTACACATCCAACCATGCAATCAATCTTTAGACATATATTGAGCCACTATGACATGCTAGACATTTCCTTGGAGAAAAGAACCCATCTATTTATGGAAACACCAGGTTACTGTCCAACATTTTATCAATATATTTTAATGGTGATTTGGATTCAAACTTATTTCTAAATGGGTATTGAATTCATTTCTTCTTATCTAAGAGAATACAGTGATTCAGATATAACTGAAATTCTTAGCAACAATTTATGTTTGTGAGTACCACTCTTTACCGGTTTTGTGTCATTTGCCTACTTTGTAATCGTGTTTCATTCAGATATACCTGTTGTTGGTTCAATGGAGAAATATGGCTGCCCCAGTAGGAGGCTGTACAGGAGCCGAGCATTGTTGCCACTGGAAGGATCATCAGCATCAGTGGCTGTCACCTGGATGACTAATGTTCCTGAAGGGAAAATAAACAGTAACATGACATTAAGACTCTTGTCACTGCAGCAATGATCTCCACTCTGTAAAGCATCCTTTCTTTTGCAGGTAAAGTGATAGTATAAAGTGAAAGACTGGCCTATTTATTGTAAAGTATGAAACTAATAACTTTCTACATAGGAAAAATAATATGATTTTATGAAATAATCTGTTATGTCTAATTTATGATCTTTAAAAGGTGTGTTGTTATTAGGGGGGATATCAAGAATGGTTTTTTTTTTTCCTTCTTTTTTCTTTTTTTAATCGTTCTGTGACCTGCACCTTAAACAAATCACAAAATGGTGACATTTATGAGGATTATCAAAATGAACTTGAAAGAGTGTCAAAGTAAGGATGGGCAGAACTCTTTTGCTTGTTTATTTCCTTTCTATAAATGCATACTTGATTTGAGGATTTAAAAAAAGTAAAACAAATTCTGAAAATACTGATAATCTTCAATATGATTCTCGTCAAGAGTTAGCAACAAGTATTAGAAATCATAGGAAATAATTGTTTCTACATTAAACACAATGCTCAGGTGAAAAATATGTCTTTGAATAACTGAATTTTGTAACTTTCCTTATGTAAAGAGTAAGCCCAGAACTCTCAGTCTTGTTCAAAGTCAAAAAGTGTTGAGATATTATGTTGTGTCCATAAGAATAGCATCAGCAATGGGGCATAATCAAAGGACCTAAGGGATCTCTTTTCACACTGAGAATTATGCGATCCCCACTACAGTAGAATTTTAGAAGCTGAGACATTCTAAGAAGTGCTGATAATTTAGTGGTTGAGGACTTTGGCTGCTAACTAAATGGTTGGTGCTTCATACCCACTAACATTTCCAAGGAAGAAAGATGAGGCAATTTACTTCTGTAAAGATTTACAGCCTTGGAAATGGATAGATTTCCAGAAACACACCACTTACCTAAGCTAACACAGAATGATGTAGGAAAGATGAACAGACCCATAACAAAAGAATAAATTGAACAGGCCATAAAAAAATTACCAACAAAAAATGTACTGGCCCAGACTATTTCATTGGAGAATTGTACCAAACATTCAGAGAAGAACTGACACCAATCCTACTCAAACTATTTCAAAACATACAAAAAGATGGAATTCTCCCAAATTCACTTTATGAAACAGGCATAACCTCAATACCAAAACCAGACAATCACTAACAAGGAAAACTATAGATCAATAACCTTCATAAATATAGATGCAAAAATCTTCAACAAAATCCTAGCCAATAGACTCCAACAGCATATCAAAATTCATTCATTATGACCAAGTGAGGTTCATATCAGGTATGCAAGGATGGTTCAACATTAGAAAAACAATCAATGTCATCCACCACATAAATAAAGCAAAGGAAAAGAACCACATGATCATATAAATCGATACAGAAAAGACATTTGATAAAATCCAACACCCACTCCTGATCAAAACTCTCAGCAAATAGCAATATAAGGGACATTCCTCAATGCTGTGCATGGGGTCGCTACAAGTTGGAAACGACTTGACGGCACTTAACAACAACAACAACCTCAACATAATAAAGGTAATATATGCAAAACCAACAGGCAACACTATTCTAAATGTAGAGAAATTGAAACCATTTTCCTTGAGAACAGGAACCAGACAAGGATGCCCTCTATCACTACTTCTATTCAACATTGTATTGGAAGTCCTAGCCAGGGCAATAAGGCAAGAAAGGGAAAACAAAGTTATCCAAATTGGTAAGGAAGAAGTCAAACTATCTCTATTTGTTGATGATTTGATCCTATACCTAGAAAACCCAAGAGACTCAGTCAAAAATCTACTGCAACTAGTTGAGAGATGTAGCATCATGGCTACAATATCCAATATCAGATGGATTCCTCTACAACAGTCAAGAGATCACTGAGAAAGAAATAATAATACCATTTATAATAGCTACCAAAAAAAAAGTAAAAACTTGGGAATAAATCTTACCAGGGACACAAAAGACCTGTACAAAGAAAACTCTAAAAGACTACTTCAAGAAACCATAGGAAAACTGAGCATTTTGAAAATGTCATTTCTATCCAAAGCAATCTATATATTCAGTGAAATCCCAACCCGATCCCATCAGCATTTGTGGTAGTTAAGTTTGTGTGTCACCTTGGCTGGACCTGGTTGAGTGGCTGAGCAGCTGAATGTAGGATTCCCCATGATGAGACTGGTAATCAACTGCATGGTGGAATCTACTGTGAGTGGCTGAGTAGCTGCCTCAGGATTGTGGTCTGCTTCCTGTATATAAGGGGATGCTGTGGGGAATGGTCTCTAGCTTATGGCATGCTTGAACCCTGCATGTAGCCAAGTTATTGTTCAGCCACCTGCCATGCTCTGCCAATCCTGGGACTTTCAATGGACTTGAATCCATGGCCTGATGTGGGATTTGTTAACATTGGGACTGTGCCTTTTTATTTGTGAACCCTGGGTTTATCAGCCTTAGCACCTAGCAGCTGAGTGAAGAAAAGCCTCCAACTTAGGGGGCCAGGAGCAGGAGGCAGAGCTGAAGCCCAAGGTTGAGGGGCTTTCACCCAGCCCCAAGAGCCTGGCACTTTGAACTCGGACTTAAAGCCTCCCAATTGTAAGAATAAACTCCTGTTTGTTAAAGTCATCTCATTTGTGGCATATTCTTGTCAGAGCAGCACTAGGTAAGCAAAACAACATTCTTTAAGGATATGGAAAAACAATCACTAACTTTATATGGAAAAGAAAGGGACCTTGGATAAGCAAAGGATTATTGAAGAAGAAAAACAAAGTAGGAGGTTTCACACTCCAGGACATTAAAACGTACTATACAGCTGAAGTAGTCAAAACTCCCTGATACTGGTACAACAGACACATGTTGCTATTGTTGTTATGTGCCATCGAGTTGGACCCGACTCATGGCAACCCCTCCTTGGGTTTCTGAGGCAGTATCACTATGGAAGTAGCATTTCCCAACCTTCCTTCTGAGGTGTGACTGGTGGGTTTGAACCGCCAACCTTCTGGTTAGCAGTCAAGTGTCCTGGGCACTATGCTACCAGAGTTCCCCAACAGACTCATAGACCAATGGAATAGAAATGAGAACCCAGAAATAGATCTATCAACCTATGGTCAGCTGATCTTTGACAAAGGGCCAAAATCCATTAAATTGGGAAGAGACTGTTTAACCAATAGAGCTGGAAAAACTGGACATCCATTTGCAGAAATATGAAACAAGATCTGTACCTCACACCAGATAGAAAAACTAACTCCAGATGGCTCAAAGACTTAAATGTGAAACCTAAAACTATAAAGTTCCTCAAGGAAAAAGTAGGGGCATATTTAGGGTCCTTAATACATGGCATATATAGACTATAAAGCATAACCCAAAACACACAAATGGCAGAAGAGAAACTAGATGAATGGGACCTTCTAAAAATT